AAAAAAAAAAAAAAAAAAATACATAAGAATGCCTGCTTTCCTTCCCTACTGTGTTTTCTTTACTTATCCCTCTGTTTATTTCACCAACTATAAAATGGGAGTTTTACCCCTGTCGTTAGATTATAGACAATGAATATAAAATACATAACAAATTGCTTTGCACAGAGAAAGGCTCAACAAGTGGAAATTATTTTTATTAGCATCTTTGGTGATAAATTACATCCATCCAAGATGGTGGGACAAGTTAGTTTTCATTTGTAGTAGATAAACACTGTACTTCTGTTGGCTCTTCTTCTGCCTGTCTTCTAAATATTAGTCTTCCTCCGAGTTCTGTGCTAGTCCCTCTTCTAACTTGGCACTTTCTTTGGGTACCCTGTATTTCCCTTATCACACTTATTCTAACTATTGTTGAAAACCTTTGCTCCTCCAGTGTGTGAATCATGTTTGTCTTGCCTCTGTCATGGTTTGGCCAAATGCAGTAAAGCGTGAAACGATACTGAATTGCCCTGGGTGTGGGGCACTTCTTTCCACCATTCGTGGCATAATAAAGAGAAAACTACAAGTAGATGAAGTAAATAGTAAAGAGAAGCAGAGCAACAGGTAGCCTAGCTAATTTGTTCTGACAGGTAAAGGGCAGGGAGATGTTTGGGAGGGGTTTATTTAGTGGACAGAGGATGCACTCCTTAGAAGATGGCCATGGGTTATAAAGTATAAGGACTGGGATGAGTCTGCATGTTTTCTTCTGGTAGTGTGGAATGTAACACCTCCAGTTACTCTGTTCACGGTCCATGTAAAAAATAATTGTTATTGGATCTACGTTGCCTCACTTGTTTTGTCTGATGTAATTGCTATGTAAGGAACACTTACAGGAAAGAGGATTAGTGAGTCGATACACCAAACACACTACTTTTATTATAACTGAAAGGTCAGTTCTTGGAGACAGTAAAAAGATCAGTGGTTGCAAGGGGTTGGGCGAAGGGAGGAATGAATAGATGAAGCATACAGGATTTTTAGGCAGTGAAACTATTCTGTATGATACTATGATGGTAGATAGGTGTTATTATACATTTGTCAAAACCCATAGAATACACAGCACTGAGTGAACCCTAATGTAAACTGTGGGCTTTGGGTGATAATGATGTGTCACTGTAGGTTCATGGATTATAACAAATATACCATTCTAATGGGAGGTGTTAATAGCGAGGGAGGCTGTATGCGTGTAGGGCAGGGGTCTATGGGAACTCTCTGTACTTTCCTGCTCAGTTTTTCTGTGAACCTAAAACTGTTCCAAAAAATGGAGTCTATTTTTTAAAAAGTCAGTTCTTCCTTACAAAGTTCTGAAAAAAATAAAGAAAATTGAAATTACCTTCTTTTGAAAGCAAGAAAACACGTTGGTCAACTGTGCTATTTGGAGGTAAAGCCAGATTTCCACTCGTTGTATGAATGAGTTCCTTAATTCTTTCCTCACCAATCTTTCGTGCTTTAGGACTTGAAATCATTCCATCTTCTGGTCTGTTAAGAATTAATATGTGAACTTTTCCATTATATACAGGACCAAAATTTCAAATATATGTTTTAATGTATGAAACTTACTTGTATATTCCTTATTTCCAAAAAAGATTTCAGGCAGCTTACAATAAAGACATAAGTAATAAACTTACTAGATAATAGAATATCGCCAAAAAGACCAAATTAGGATTATAAATAAGTAGAAAGAATAAATGCTAATTATAAGGTTAACATGATTGCTATAATGGAGTAGACAATTTTTGCTCTGAGTTTCCAGAAAACGTTGGCTTTTTTTACTTTGGGTAAGTCATTTTTGAAAATTAGTATTAAGCATACAATTTATCAGAGGAGATTAAGTTTTTCCTGGTATAAATTCTAAAAAATTTATGTGATAATGTCCTCCACAACAGTTTTAGAATACAGAAATAGATTTTTACATGGCTATTTCTTTTATTGACTTCTGAAAAAAACCCTGAAAGCATAGCATTCAAGTTTAGCTCAACAAAGACTGTTCTGCCAGAATCTAAACTAAATATATTACAGTATCTCAGTCAACACTAACCTTAAAGATTCCTCTGATTTTATCAGTTAACCCATTCCCCATTCTCAGCATCTTTTTTTCTGTTGCAAAAAACATAAGATGATTTATTGCCTAGAAACCTGTAGAGACAATATTTTGAAACTTCAAATTCCAATTCCTTTTGTTTTTGAATAGCTTCATTCCTATGAGTTCAAGTACTTTATGGTTCATTAGAACTTGGCAAAGATGAACTCCTTTAAGATGAGAGATACCATTACTATTTAGACACATATTTTGCATAAGATGACTTAATACTATATCAACAGCATCAGAACCAGTAAAACACTCTATGTTTGTAAATGATGCCACTTTTTTATTTCCACTTGAGTCTGAATGGAATGAATAATACCATCCCATAGCTGAATAGATTGAAAAGGGCCAGAAATCCTGGGGAAAAAAAATTAAATGTGTTTCTAACCAACACATATTTAGATTACTCAAAAATATTTAAGTTTTTCAGTTTTGACTATATGGTCTTTAATGGCATATGTGCTGCCATTGTCTTTCTTAAATTTCTACTCCTTGAATCTTATGTAAACCATAATATATTTACTAAGATTGCACCATGTTTGCCAATAAAAAGAGTAAACTTAGGAACTTACTTCACTGATATTAACTATATTATTATGTAAATTTATACACCCTAAAATTACATGTTTACTAGCTATACTTAATCTTGAAGAATATTATTTCAGGACACATTTAAAAGAAGGCACACACACACACTGGAGTTTTGATTATTACAGAACTGTGGCTCCACCAGGCTTTTTTGTTGTTGCTGTCTTCTTTTTGTTTTTTTGACCAATGGTAAGTTCTTCTAGGGCAAAGAGCTCAATAAAATTAATTTATCTTCCAGCTACTCTTGTTGAATAAAAAGTTTGTGAGGAATAATGAAAACCTGAAAACGATAAAAATGTCCATCATCTGGGAATCGTTAAATAAATTATGGCATAGCCTTACTATGGAATATTAAGCAGCCATTAGGAAGAATGAGGTTTAAAGCATGGAGAGATATCATTAACTAGGAAAAACAAAACAAAACAAAAAAACCACAACAAGTTGAGCATACTATCATCCTAGTTATGTAAAATGAATTCCCAACATACACACAAATATATGTAAATAAAAAGAAAGGTCTGGATGGATAAACTTCACACTCTTAACCTTTGGGAACTAGGATTGTAAAGAAAGAGGATGTTCGGTTTTCTATATATTTCCAAATTTTTATAAAGTACATGTGTAAATTTTTCAATTAAGTGGAGACAGCAAAACTTTTATTGAGATATAATTGGCTACCACATAATTCACCCTATTAAAGAGTACAGTTTTGTGGTATTTCAGTGGTCACAAAGTTGTGCAACCATCACTATGATATAATAGCAGGCCATTTCATCACTTCGAAAAAAAACCCAGTTAGCAATCACTCCTCATTCCGCTCTACTCCAGCAAATTTTTAAATAAAAATTTTTAAGAATGATAAGGGAATAAACAAACATCTAAAATGTTGTTTCTAGATTTTTTGGGTTAGAATCCAAGAATTTAAGCTCTCTTCTCCTTTGACTATGGATTACTGGAAACAGGATGCCCAGTTTTACAGACAAAATGACAGAAATAAAAACCCATCACCTTCAAATGCCTTTAGTAACAGAACCTGTTAGTCTGTCTATCCTTTAAATATTAGTCCGAGACGCTGTGGACAGTATGGAGACAGGAGTGGGGTGTAGGTGAAGCATGGAAAGGGGTAAGGAGGGAGAAGCAAAGGGCAGGAAGGGCCGAGTTTGGATGGGGTGGGGTGGAGGAGGCTAGGAGTCGATGAGCGTTGGAGACAAGGGTATTGTCCAAGGACCATCTGCCTCTAATTTATTAAACAAGTAGGCTAGATTAAAGAAGTAGTCCTCGTGCTCAAGGAACTTGCCATTTAGTAGTTGAACCTCTTAGGTTCTAAGTGTAGCCTGTCGACCAACAGCATTGGCATCATCTGGAAACTTATTAGAAAAGCAGAATATCAGATTCTACTGCTGGATCCAAACTGCACTTTAACAAAGTCTCCAAACGACTCGTGTACATATTAAAGTTTGAGAAGCACTGTTTTCCCGGACTTCTTAAGGAGAATAGTTCGGAAAAGGCCAAGTCGAGGTTCAGAGAGGTCAGGTGCGCCAGGAAGGGGGCGGGGCTAGGAAAGGGGCGGGCCACAGAATCCTGAGGCGCACAGCCCAAATCACCCGCTCCCCTCAGCTGACCTCCCCTTCAGCACACATTAGGTTGGGATGTATGGGACTACCTGATCTCCTTTTCCGGCAGAAGCCACCCCTAGGGCTCGGCCCGCTAGGTGCTGGGCTGGGAAGCTCGATCTGGCTGCCAAGGCTACGGAACCGCGGAGTCAAAAGAACCTCCAGAACCTAGCGCGCCAGCTCCTCCCCCGGCCCGTAGCCCCGCCTCCACCCTGCCCTCGGGGATGGGAGTCCGAGGATGCCCCCGCCCCGCCCCTTCCGAACCAGCAGGAAGTGACGTCATGCCCTGGCCGGCCGGTCTTTCGGTCTTCTTCCCCCTCCCTTACTCTTCTTCCCCAGTCCCTCCCCTCCCCTCCCCCTTCCCTCCTCCGGCTCCTGCCTTTGCGGCCGCGCGGGTGGCAGAGGCTATGGAGTAAGCTGGGAGCCTCGGCCTCCAGCGGAAGCTGAGCGGGAGCAGCCAGGAGGCGTTTGGCTGGGCGGGGGGAAAGGAGCCCCAGCACCGCCCCTCCCGGGAGAATTGAGGAAGAGGTGAGTGACCGCTCATGGGCATCGACTAACCTCCGTCACGGGTCGCGCACCCGCCTGGGCTCCCAAGGCCAGCGAGGAGGGAATGGGGGAGGACACGCGCCGGAGCTAGGCCTCTGCAGACCCCCGGGGCTGGCGACTGTTGCTAGGTGACGGGCCTGCTGGCTGAGAGCTGGGCTGGCCGGGCGGTGGGCGCCCGGGCCGAGCCGAGCTGGGCGAGCGAGCTCCGGGAAGCGGATCGGAGAGGCCCGAGTCCCCGGAAGAGGCCTTCCAGTGACGGGAGACCCGGGGCTGGAGCCGTCTGCCCCAGGGAGAGCTCCCGCCTCCGGCTCTGGAGCTCGGGTTTCCGTGGTGGAGCTCTTGGTTGTCTTTTGGGAAATTGGATACTACTCCAGGACTGGGTGAGACAGGTCCCCTCGATTCTGAGGTCCGCCTCTGATAACCTGGTTTACCGACCGGGCCCTACCCCTGGCGTCCTTTTCTGACAGTAGCCGTAGTTCTGGAACGGAAGGTTATTGTGTTTGAGGTGGGTGGGGCAGGTGTTTTGTTAAGAGTAAAAAACCCCTTGGTTGGCTTCTGCACTCTTATTTTTCTAAGCGGGAGAGAAACGATGGAGGAAGGTTTAGCCCCATAAAGCTTGCAAAAACTTCTAGGGGTCCGACTGAATACATACCTCTGATTAGGAATTAAGGAGACCAATATTGTCAAGACAGCTCCTGTAACAGTCTTCATGAGACTCCAGACTCAAGCGACTTAAAAACGCTGTTCAGTACGTCGTGACTTACAGTTGTAAATTGCAAGCTAGTTTTTGGTAGATCAAATCCAGGAATTATCTGTAGGATGGCTTGTTTTACAAATTGGATTCTGTGAGTAAGAAGTTTTCTAAGAGGCATTCGCGTGCCTCTCCATTCTGGAAAATTGACCTAGTTTACAGTCTGTCACTGTAAGACTTGATCAGGCTCGTCATAGTTTGAAAGTCAGGTGCTTGAAGCTACCTTTTGGACTTAGCAGGTTCAGGGTTTTTTGTTTGTTTGGCTTTCTGTCTTATTCTTTAGCATAAATATTTCTTAAAAGTTTAAAAATGATTTATCAGCTCTGTATAGGTAAAATTCTTGACAATATTGTACTCATAAAAGATGCTTTCGGGGAATTGTGTCTTTTCGGGGAATGGAACCTAATGGAAGGTAAGGACCTTCATTCTGTTCAGATCCACTTTTCACAACACACATGCAGAAACCTATTCTTTTATCTCTAAGATCCACAAACAACCAATAAAACAAATACAGGCATTGTATTTCCATACAGCAGAATATTTCTGTACAAATCAACCCTGTAATTAATTGGGAATAACTACTCATACTCACGTATTTGAAATTCATGATTTACTGCCCCTGTCCCCAAGAAAAATAAGTCCTCTTACTGTGTTTAACTCAAGTGCCTGGCTTCATCATCCATCCCTTTCTATAGGAGTTGAAGTGTGACAGCTTTCTCTCTGGTGCCTCATAGCAGTCTCTCCTGAAGTCCTGTTTTTGCCTCCTGAATATGTCTTAAGTCTTTCTTATCTTCACCACTAGTACTCTAGTTCCAGCTACCATCATCTCTCATCTGAAGTATCACTGGCCTCGCAATTATGGTCTAGTTTTCCACACCAGACTGAATGACTGTTTAAAACTGCAGGTCTAATCACTTTGTCTCCACGTTTAAAACCCTGCAGAGGCTTTCATTGTTTTTAAGAGAAACTAAAATTTTTAAAAGCCTGTTTGGGTCCCCCAATTGCCTTTCCAGCCTGGTCTCCACAGTGCTTCCTGGCATTCCTTTCTCCCCTAGCTGCTCTGTTCTGCTCCAGATACATGGCTTTTGGTATGAAGCTTAATCTGCCTGGAAATGCACTTCCTTTCCTTTTCATCCAGTGAATGCCAGCTCATCATTCAACTCACTGTAGGAAGACTTTCCTAATTAGGATAGATTCCCCTAATTACATGTCCTCATGACACCATCGCAGAGTTGCCATATTTACTAATAAATAAATTTGTGAGATGTTCCTCATCTCCTGCTGCTGTGTAAGTGCTTAATAAATATTTGTTAAATAAATGAATTCAATGAATTCAATGAATGCTTACTAAACGTGCCAGGAATTGTACTAAACATTATAGTGCGTCATCATCTTTAATCCTGATAACAATCACTTAAGGTATGGGTGGCATATCCCCCTTTTTAAAGGTTAGAAATAGGGAGGCTAGTTTAGGTGCTCACAGTGCTAGTAAGTATTAGAGCTGATTTTTGAACCAAGGTTTCTTTGCTACTGGAGATTGTGCACTTAGTCATATATAACACTTAAATTTCGCACTGTGCATCAGAATCACCTGGGGCAGCTGCTCAAAATATAAATGCTCTGCCTGCATATTTATAGATTCTGATTCCACAGGTTTGAGATAGTTTAATATATAGGCATCTATATGGCTTAATAAGTTTTTCAGTCTGTAGATGTTATTAAATGTATTTAGATGTTCACCAGAGTTTGAAAACCATCGTCTTAGCAAACACTTCAGTGCTTTATGAGTTTCAGTTTTCACATATTGTATTACAAGGTATTTCAAATTTTATACGTTCTTAAATCAGGGAAGAACTGTAGTCCTAAGGAAGTGACCTTATGGTCAGTTAGTCTAACTTCCTACTCAGTGATTCCTTTTCCCACTTCTCCAGCTGCCACCCTGGTGCTCTTGGTACCTTTTCTTAAAATTACAGTATCAGGAATCTGACTTGAGGTAGTAAAAAGTACACCAAGTACATGGGCTGGAAGTGCCTTCAAGAGTTGGACATACTCTCTGTTCAGAACTTACTTATTGTTCAAATTACTGATTTGATATATAAGCACATATTGCCTTGTAACCTCTCTTAGTTGTGTTTTAAAACTTATTGTACGATGGTCTTAAGTTTGTAAACAGTGACAGAAACTGAATGTTTTACTTGTTTGTCCTACTATACCTAGCATGATGGTTTCCACTTAGAAGGTACTCAATAATTTGTTGAATGGATGTGTGTTTCACTGTACATTTCTAAGTCTCTTTAATTTTTATGTTTGTTTCTTAGGCCAGATTTATCTCCTGTAAGTAATCTGTTTGGCTCAACTGATGATAATTAGATACTTTCTGTGGTTGTAAAGAGAATGATTGTTACTCAGCTGGTATAATCTTTGTTTTCTGAATAAGATTAAACATTACATATAGGCCAAAGAAGGGCATTAACCATTTTTAAAAAAACTAGTTTTTTTAAAACTTCTAATCTCTGAGTGCTCCCACAAGAAAACAACAACAACACGTATTTCAAGAATATATCTCAGGATCATCTTACTTTAGATATAAAAAGATAAGCACTGCGTATAGGAATATAGGTATAAACATTTTTCCAGATTTCATGAAGCATTTTACCAAAGGTATTTGTCATATTAACGTAATTCTTATTTCAAATTACAAAATTTCATTTTATGAATACTTAGCTACTTAAATGACTATATAAGGGGTATTCTTTTATTTTCAGGCAATTACATGAAAGGAAATCTCAGACCCTTGTGCCTCTTTAAGGAATAAAACAAACTATTTTTGAGTTCTTTTGTATTTATATTATTATTCTTTGTAGTCAATGTGAATTGTTTTGTGCTTATGAAAGATTAGTCTCTGCTAGTTGCCATGAGACTGACAGTTACTAAACATAACTTCACGATCAGGTATAATTACCTGATAAATAAATAATTTTTATTTGCATTTCAGTATTTCCAATAAAAATTCAAGCTGATTCTTTTTAGTGTTTTATTTTGGCGAATTAAGGGATTCTTTGCACTTGTTTTACTTGAACATTTAGGAAGTTGTTTTTTTAGCATAAATATAATTTTATCTAGTATATTCTTGCTATATCTAGAGTTTATGAGTAGGCAGAACTGAAAGAATTGCCAATACCTTTCAGCTGCTGCCATCAGGCACTGTAAGAACTCAGCCCACCTTCTGCCAGGTGCAGGTAAAATCTAGTATTACAGTAGATTCACCTGCAGGTTCTACTGAAAGCCAAGTGATGGCTGAGCCAGATGGTAGGAAGATACAATCTTGAGAACATACTGAAGCTGTGGCAAGTCTTATTTTGGCTGAGATTTAGGAGGGGGAGATTCACAATTTAGAATGCTAAATTGTGTACAAGGGGAAATGGCTCATGTGCATAAATATTTCTGTCATTTATAACTTTGTCTTTGGAAAAATAGACTTATTTATTAATCAAGTGAAAATTTGAAAAGCTGTCATTTTTCAGAAAAGCTTTTTGGACTCTAGGTTTCTTACATGTCAAAAGCTATTGCTAATAATTCAAAATCTCATTTAAGTTCAGGTTTTATTTTACAAGCTCATTCAGTTTATTCTGAATAATAAGCTCAGGGTGCCCAAATTTTGATCTTCAATCGAGACATATTTTCTAAGTTTTTGGGCAGCATGTCATTAAGGCAACTCAAATCCAACACTGAGTTTTTCTTCCCACAAAACAATGATCTTTTCTAAGACCTGCCTTGGTAAACGGTTTCACCCTCCACCTAGACTCTGAAATTGAAGACATGATTGGGATTTAGTTTTGTCTCTTTCCTTTAGCTAATTAGTCACTAAGCTCCTCCTACTTGTTTCTTAATTTTTCCTTTCTTCTTTATTGCTATTTCCTTAATTCAGCAACCTCTCCCTCTTTAAAAATTTGTTTAAAATTTGATATATAATACGTAAAAGTGCATAATGAGGTCTGATAATTATAAAATAAACATCCATTTAACTAGCACCTCTGAAACACCCCCTCCACCCACCATCTCTTCTCTATCATCTCCTGATTTCTGTGTGTCCTTTCTTTTGTTGTCTTTCTTTGTATACACTCTAAATTTTATACACACGGACGCGCATGCGCACATGCGCAATACATTTGTCTTCCCTGAACTACATATTGATGTTCCCTTCAGTCTTGCCATAGTCCTTATTTCCATCCCTAGTGTGAGTATATCATTCACTCTGCTTAATGGAGTGGTTGATCATCTTACTCATGCCTGAAACCCTTCCGTGCGTGACTTATTAAATCTTGATTTTTTATTACTTAACACCCTTGGTGATCTGGCTTTTCTGTCTCCTTTGCCACACTTCCTTCTTAACTCCAGCTTGTATCTTTGTTATTCCTCCTACACTTTTCCCATTCACTCGTTCATTCCTACTCACCTTTAAAGGCATCTCTAGCATTACTGTTTTGGGGAAACTTCGTTCCATCTAGTCCTCCTCTTTTTTCTCCTGTAACACTGTATATGTATATTCTGTAGCATTTTATCACTGTAGGCTGATGTATTGTGGGCTAATGCTGCTTTCTTCCCGTTTCTTATATGGTGTCAGTTACCTAGTGGGTA